GCTCCTCCTGCGAGTTGTTAAAGACAGCAGGGAAAATCTAGGCAATCTTCTGCCTGGCCCCTTCTTCCCTGTCCCTGCATTTTTATTAGTTTTCTCTGAAGGAAAAAAAGGGGTATATAAACTTCCTAGGAGGGTTAGTATCTCTCTTTGGCTAGCTACTTTATTTGTAAGAGTAGCCATCAATTACATTCCTGGATGTCCAGAACAAGTATGGAAGGTTATGTCCTATATTAAGGAATAGATTGGTCTGTTGATGAGAATGGTTTGTAGCTTGGGTGGGCCCTGGAAAAAAATCTCTTGGGACATGCAGACTTTTGGTTTTCTCAACTGTTAAGGTCCTGAGTTTCTGGTTACCCTGTTTCTGTTAAACCTAGACTGCTGTTTGTCAGCAGACTTCCCTGCCTGTTCTTTGGGCCTGAATAAGAGATCCTGCTTATCACGGCTCTAAAGGTGACTTAGCTGCGCAATCAGTAGGTTGTCCGGGGCTTCTAGGGACGTAAAGCCTGGCAGTGAGAAATCAGGAGCAGTTCTGTGGTGTTCCTCTGAGTGCTCTAGAGAGATGCACTGTGAGACTGAATTAGTACTGTCCTGCCGAGGCACCTTAGTTGGCTTGTTTGTATACCTCACTGTTAGTCATGTGCCCTGCACCTCATTTCCAAGGCATTTATGTTATTTCTTTCTGCCTTAAACATAGATAAACCTGAGGATATCAGTCCAGCCAAGGAACCTCCTACAGCTGAGAAAGTAGGTGATGAGCCTGGATCAGACTCAGGTGGGTATATGTTTGGCTAACAGCCTGGAGCTTGGTAGCTATGAGTGCAAGCTGTCCCTGTGCTTTTTTTCCGCCTTTTAGACATAGGAGGCAGTTAATATGGCAGAACCCTGACTGCTGAGCGGTTGGGAATTCTGCAAAGAGGAACATGAAAATTTGGTTCCTTGCTGTTCCTAACTTTTTGTTCTGCTCAGTGCAGAGTTGTAATGTACCACTGCCTCCTGCCTCATCAGCTGCTTTGTGCCTCCGTCACTCCAGTCCCTTAGCTTAAGCCCATCTTTGTTAAAGTGATATATGCTGCTTAGCACTTGGGGAGTTTGTGTACGCGTGCGCGTTTTTCTGCTGGTCCTGTGTTGAAAGAGCAATATTCAGCAGGTGGAGGGCAGTAATGTCTCCAACTCTTCCGAGCTGAATACCGATCCGTAAAGCTTTCCCATGATGTATGTGCCACAGATTGAGAATTTAGTGGAAGATGTGATAAATGTCAGCGACGCTTAACGCTGCTTTGTGTGCTGTCAAACTATTACAGTGTATAACCGTTCATTTCATTACACAGGGTCCCAAAAAGAGAAGAAAACAGAAGCCGGAGGAGAAAGCAGGAAAAATGATGAGTTATAACATCCCTGAAATCCCACTAGTGTCAGCATCTATTTATTTGATGGTTACTTTCTTGTTTTTTATAATGGACCTGGCTAGTTATGATGTAAAAGGAACACAACAAACAGTCTGACAACAAAATGCAATGCAATAGAGATGTACATTTTTTTTTTTTCCCCTGGGGATTTTGCCGCTACTAACTTAGTGAATTGTTTTTTTATTTCTCTGTTCTTATGTGTTTAGAGGTGACTGAGTGCTCACCAACAATTGTCTCTGTTTCAGTACAGTCTTACTGAAGTCACCAAAGTGACTTTTTTTTGTAGAGGAAAACAGGGAAAGAAGTGTTGTAAGCTTCAGGAGGTAACTTGGAACATATGCTTTGTGCCACACCTCATCTGGTGAAGATGAAAGGGATTAATCCAGAAACGGGTTGCTAAGATAGTGTTGTCTTTGCATATGAGGCCCTAACCTAAAGGAGTGGTGTGACTTCAGCTGATGGGCAGTGTATGGTCGTTTGGATGCCTGGAAGAGTGGAACAGATGTGGGGAGGCAGATGCTCTGTGCTTCAGGATAAGAATGTGTCTATTTTCCATAGACTTATTAAAGCCATCTCTATCCATGCTCTGTAGCAGAGTCTGAAAACAGTGAATTGAGACTTAAGCAAACGATTCAGTTTATTGTTTACTGTAAAAAAGCTAAAAAGTTGCAAAGCTGAATGCTAAGGAGACTGGAAGAAAAAATATGTTAGTGCATCTTTCTCTGGTTGGAAAAAGAAACAGTTATGGACCACGGAGGTGGCACGGGTTTAGGTAAAAACAAAAGAAAACTGGCAAGTTTAATCAAATTATCCTCCTTCTGCAGTATCTTGTGTACTCAGACTGGCTTCATTGTGAAACTTCATGTCCTTGGCTGTGGTCTCCTAACTCCTTGGGAATGTTCATGCTGCTAAAATACACGAGTGAAGTCTTTGATTGACTTATACAAACACTTGTGAACGTGCATCTGATGTTGTTCTCCATTGGCCTATTCAACCAAAAATAAAAATTACACTTCCTGACCGTCTCTTAAACACGCTTTTGTTTGTTTTGGAAAAAGCTGAGGAAGTTCGCTGAGCTGTCCTTTCTGTTGCGATTCCGAAGCGGTCTGCTGTCGTCAGTGGCCGGCTGCGCGCCGCTGAAGCTGGCGGGGGCGAGCAGGCCTGCGCAGAGGCTGTCCCGGCGGCGCCGCGCAGCGGGGAC